CTGCGTTTTCCAAATTTGCTGGCATATTGTGCAACACTTCAACAGCATTATCTTTTAAGACTCTGAACAGCTCAGCTGGGATACCATCACCTCCACTAGCTTTGTTGTTAGTAATGCTTTCTAAGGCCCATTTTTTTTGTCCTTTATCATGGCCAGCTTTGCATGGAATGTTCCCTTGATTTCTCTAATTTTCTTGAAGAGATCTCTAGTCCTTCCTATTCTATTGTTTTCCTCTATTAATTTGCATTGTTCATTCAGGAAGCCCTTCTTATCTCTCCTTGTAGTTCTCTGGAAATCTGAATTTAGTTGGGTAAATCTTTCCTTTTCACCTTTGCCTTTCACTTTCCTTCTTTCCTCAGCTATTTGTAAAGCATTATCAGACAGCCACTTTGCTTTCTTGCATTTCTTTTTCTTTGGGATGGTGCTGATTGCTGCCTCCTGTACAATGTCATGAACCTCTGTCCATAGTTCTTCAGGCACTCTATCAATCAAATCTAGTCCCTTAAATCTATTCTTCACCTCCACTGTATATTCATAAGGGATGTGATCTAGGTCAAACCTGAATGGCCTAGTGGTTTCCCCAACTTTCTTCAGTTTAAGCCTGATTTTGCATGATCTGAGCCACAGTCAGCTCCAGGACTTGTTTTAACCGACTGTATAGAGCTTCTCCGTCTTTGACTGCAAATGATATAATCAGTCTGATTTCGGTGTTGCCCATCTGGTGGTGTCCATGTGTCACCTCTTAGGTTGTTGGAAGAGGGTGTTTGCTATGACCAGAGTGTTCTCTTGACAAATCTCTGTTAGCCTTTGCCTGACTTCATTTTGTTCTCCAAGGCCAAACTTGTCCGTTATTCCGGTTACCTATTGACTTTCTACCTTATCATTCCAGTCTCCTGTGATGATATGGACATCTTTTTTTGGTGTTAGTTCTAGGAGGTGTTGTAGGTCTTCATAGAACTGGTCCACTTCAGCCTCTTCTTCTGCATCAGTGGTTGGAGCATAGACGTGGATTACTGTGATATTGAATGGTTTGCCTTGGATCCGGACTGAGATCATTCTGTTGTTTTTGAGATTGTATCCCATTACTGCCTTTTTCACTCTCTTGTTGACTATAAAGACCACACTATTTTTTCTACGGGATTCTTGGCCACAGTAGTAGATAAAATGGTCTTCGGAGTTAAATTCACCCATTCCCATCCACTTTAGTTTACTGATTTCCATGTTGATGTTCAGTCTTGCCATCTCATTTTTGACCATGTCAAGCTTACCTTGATTCATAGATCTTACATTCCAGGTTCCTATGCAGTATTGTTCTTTGCAGCATCAGACTTTCCTTTCACCATCAGACACATCCACGTCCTTTTGGCCCAACCACTTCACTCTTTCTGGGGTTTCTTGTACTTGTCCTCTGCTCTTCCCCAGTAGCATGCTGGACACCTTCCGACCTGAGGGGCTCATCTTCCGGCGTCATATCTTTCAGCCTGTTGTTACTGTCCATGGGGTTTTCTCGGCAAAGATACTGGAGTGGGTTGCCATTTCCCTTCTCCAGTGGATCGCATTTTGTCTGAGTTCTCTGCTGTGGCCTGTCCATCTTGGGTGGCCCTCCACGGCATAGCCCGCAGCCTCATCGATCCACGCAAGCCCCCTCGCCACATCAAGGCAGTGATCCATGAGATCACTATTTGCCGTGATGTCTAAATGGAACCTCCATGTTCAAAGACAGAAAAATCCAGGGCAGGAGGGCAACAGTAGGGGCAGGGGTGGGAGACCATCTTTTGATCCTCTTGCCTTCTGATTGGTCACTGTGAGAAACAGGGTGGACTAGATGCTTGCGTGGTCTGATCCAGCACTGCTCTTTTTCCTGCTCTTACATAAGTGTCATTTAAAAAATGAAAGCTTTGATGGCTTTAATGTATCTAGTACAGTTTTATCCTTTGCGGGACTCAGGGTAGCAAATATCGTTCTCCTCTTCCCCATTTTACCCTCAGAACAGCCCTACGAAGTAGGTTAGGCTAACTCTGACTGTGCCACCCAGGGGTCACAGATCCAGTCCAGGCCTTCAACCACTGCGCCAAGATGTAATAAGGGCTACTGTGCTCTCAGATCTTAAGAGCTTCCTTATTTCATGCCTACAGATCTTGTTGGAGCTTAGAAGAAGGCTAATTCAATGCAGGCTAATTCAATGCAGGGAAATCTCCCCTACCAACCTACCCCTTTCTCAACAAAAATCCATACAGAATATTCACAAACACTGCAGAGCCAGTGAGGGCAAAGGAATGAATCCATTACCCTATGGAAATAACCCCATAATGACTGTACTTCATGCTGGATTTTATCTAGCTAAGAAAAATACAAAGGTACAGTATACACAGGACATATTGAGAGTATTATTCCAACAGGAAATGTTTACATTGTTTTCCTTCTTTAAATTGAAAAAGGCCTCTATAGTGTGTGCAAATATGCTAAAGAAAAAGGGGGGAAAGACATAAAAACAAATTGTAATACAGCAAAGGGTTCCTTGTATACCAACATAAAGGAAATGGCGTCCTCCTAACAACAATAGGTCCCATGTTGTTCAGAACAAATCAGTTTGTGTTAAATTTTAAAAAAATTTTTTGCCTTGGCTTCCTTCAGGAAGTTATTGAGAGCAGTATGTATACAGCACATACTATTCTTCTTCAAATTAAGCCTAATAGGTAAATGGGGAAGCTTCCTATTGCAAATGGTGGCGAGGAAGAAAACAGGAACACTCAAAAATCACACAGGCTTTATAAGGTTCACTTAAAAATGCTATAGAGCTTTATTATAAAATGTTTCCTACCCTTGAATACAATACACGTTGTTCCAGACATTCATTCCAGCATTTGTATTCATAGGTTAATTGCGTATTAAAAAACAAACCAAGATCAGTGAGACAAAAATCAACATCTGAGAACAAATAAATGCCTTCTAAGCAAACCTTTGTACATGATTAGTTTTGAGTTATGGAAATGTGTGTTCTTGAAGACTTTCCACTTTTGTGTCAAATCTGTGACTTTCCTATATTGTAAACAAATTCAAGGGTGCAGCTTGGAAACCAAAGCTGGGTAGCTATTGTTCTGTCCCAATTAAAACTTGGTATATTAAACACAGTTGAGTACATCCATGACACACTATTATCTCTTGAAAGGTCAAATCAAAAGTGCCTTTCAAAGGTTCATTTTCAGTATTCTGTTGTCGCTCCGTACAGCTTGGAAGGAACAGGTGACGTTGACTTGTCAGAAACGCACCAACAATCACATTCAATGAAGATCAACCAATTCTGGACCCTAAAAATCCACATACTTCAGCTGTCCTATAGTGCGGGAATGAGATCTGATTCGAAACCAATGATCCTTCTAGTTTATGTATATATTTATGCCACATCGCACTCCCTTCCAATAACAGAAAATGATAAGGGAGCCACAATTGCTTACATAATAATGACAGATGGTTTAAAACACAATCTTAAACAGGTTTACTGAAAAGAAAATCTTGCAGAGTTCAGTGGGATTTGTTTCCAAGTATTTTAAGACTGTAGCCTTAGAATGATTAACAGCATATGGAAAAATACATGCATGATAAATGAGCCTCGAGCAAGATGAGTTGCTGAATTCCAAGGCATTTTTAGTATCTATTGCCTGCAATCAGTTTACAAAGAACATTAAGTATGCAACAGAGGGCCAGCAAACCACATCCTGTCATTTTAAGTCTCAGCTAACCCACGATCCACCACAGGGAGCCACTCTGATAGGCACTTCTGGTATCCTGGCGATTTTTTTTTGTGGGGGTGGGACAATTCCAGGTAATAAGGCTTGGGATAGGTAATAAGGCAGGGATAGTTCAACTACCTTATCCATGTCATGATGCTGTCACTGAAATGAAGCCTGACAGTTTGGTACTGGAAGCTCAGGAATCTGCATCACTCGACATGCTACCTATTGGTCAGATCCAGTCTAACTAGGGTTGCCAGCCTCCAGGTGGTGGCTGGAGATTTCCTGGTATTATAACTGATCTCCTTGCAGCAGAGATCAGTTCACCTGGAGAAAATGGCTGCTTTGGAAGGTGGGCTCTATGGCATTCTACCCCATTGAAGCCCCTCCCCTTCCCAAATCCTGCCGCCCTCAGGCTCCACCCCTCAAATACTGAAGTATTTCGGAACCCGCAGCTGGCAACCCAAGACAAACATTTCCATGGGTGCAAGGAGTTCTGCTCACGGAGCACAATTTTCCTACCACTCTCTGCTCAGGCAACCCCTCTCTCCCAAGCATGGGATTTTGGAGGGGGGAGGGCACTTGGGGCTGATGTGGGAGAGGAAAGGTGGGGAAATCATACTCCATAACCAGAAATCCTTGTCCCTGTGGAAATGTCTAGTCTGCATCCAACCTCATGTAGGAAACCAAGGTAGACTAAGTTATTTGGGCCAGATAAAAGGCTTTGGTAGATCAGATACTATCCACATGTTATATACATTATCTTCATCTGCAGCATTTCGTAGCTCCCCCCCCCCCGAATTCCAAAGCTCCTTTACACCATACTTTTCTTTCTAAGTATGTTTCCTGCTTTCTAATTTGCTATACACGTTAATACTGTATGGATTCTAAGTAATCAGCAGCAACATTTAGTAGGAGTCATGGTCTTAGAGTATGAAGTCCCTGTGTGTTGGCACAAGCACTTGTCTCAAAAGGTGTAAACAGAGGCAAAGGACAGAAAGAGGAAAAAGAAGAGTCAGCAAGAAGGCACAGATATGTCTTAAAAGCACAATTGTGTTCTAGATTCTTTCACAAAGGAACTTGTTTTATGGGTTAATGGGTAAAAACAAATATCTCTGCCTTACCTATCATCTCTTTATTCTGAACGAAACTCATTATATGAAAGATTACAATTTCTAGACGTTTTGTACCGACTGAGGTATTAAGAAGGTATTAAGAAGGCCTACAATGAACAAGTGTGAGGAGGCTGGTCATGGGAAATACCACTTATTTAGTCCGGGATGAGTGAGATGGATGTCAGTTGAATTGTTTGTCGGGAGATCCTGTCAAAATTCCAGTTCGGTCCAGCAAACTTTAGACTCTGTATTTGGCTTTGCCGTGGTTATTGATAATGCATATGTGCTGAAATAATGAAACAGTTTAATGTCAACAATTCATAAAAAGAGAATTAACTGCATTTATTACTAATCCTAATTAGTAGGATGCATCAGTAGTAGATTTATATACCAACTCTTAAGTGGCACTAGGATAATTAATCCTAATTAGTTGATGCACTGCTCTGTGAAAGAAGGAAGACACTGTTCTGCAGAGGTCTTTATCTCTGAGCCAATTAACAGTATCAACTGTATTTTCATCCAAAGCTGAGTATCCATCTCAGTAAACACTCAAGACGAACAGATAAAACACATTCGCTAATATGTGCTTACTTATTTTAATGTTGTTTGTCTTGGCCTATATCCAGGGCTGGCCCCAGCTTATTTTGCACCCTAGGCAAGGATCCCTTCTGGTGCCCCCCCCCCCCCCGGTGCGCCCACCATTTTTCAAAAATAAATGCATTTTAAGAAGAATGAAAAACACAAATAATCAAGAAACTCCCAGAGTACGGGGCCGGGTGCAGTTTGGCGCCCCTAAGGGCCAGCCCGCTCTAGGCGATCGCCTAGTTTGCCTAGTGAGTGAGCCGGCCCTGCCTATATCCAACCATATAGTTCTGAAGACTTAACAGCCTTTAAGTTTTCCTAAGAGGGGGCTGTCAATCACTGAACCCCTGTGTGGCAGAACGGGCCTGCTCCGGCCTTCAGACCCTATTCCACCCTGCCTTCCAAGGTTTTCTCAACACCTGGACTTTTCTTTCACTCTTGGGTAGCTCACCACCACCACCTGACCTTTGTATGGAATTGCCCACTGGGAGCATCAGGTTTCCCAGCTTACCTTCCAAGTTCTGAGGCCTTGCCTCTGTGTCTCCTGCTGCCCAGGATCTGGTCACCACAGGGACAGTTTACTGCCTTGCGTACCCCTGGAGGAATAGCCACTTGCCACTGCCTGCCTCTCCCAGGCCTCTCCTTTTCAAATAGCAAGTCTGAGACAGTGGAGGTCTATGTGGTACAGAGAACCACTGCCAGCATCAAAAGTTATATCCGCAAGCATACTTTTAGCACAGCACCAGACTGAGCACGAGATTCCAAGAAATTGGTAAAACGCAAATCCTCTGTCCCTCTCGCTATACATGCCTTACCAGTAGTTATAAAAGGTCAGGCTCTTTAGCTTTAGAAAATTACAAGTCTCTACAGTGTTTCAATTACCTTGCAGCTCTCTCCCAGCTCTTCAGGTGAGCACATGGTCAATGGTTGCCTTCTTAGAGGAGAGCTCTGTGTGCTCTCATGGATGCAGCACCCCAGGAAAAGAGACCTCCTTCCTCCTGCATGGAAATTTTACCATCTCTCTTTTCCACACACCCTGACCAGGTCTTTTCCTGTAGATCTCCAGGCTTGTCCTGTAAATCTCCAGGAATCTCCTTCCTGAAGACTCTCTAGCATTTAACACCTCCAATTCTATGTTTCCTGCTTGGGTAAGGGGGAGAGCCTGGCCCACCCATTATCTCTCCTGCTAGATCGATTTAGCATTTGTATGAAAGCAAGCTGAAAAGCAATTGTACTGACCCCCCCCCCTGCATATTCTCTACCCAAAGAAAAAGACTTTTAAACCGCAAAGGGGAGGTTTTGCTCATTTCAAATCTGCCAGGAAAAAATGCATTTCTTCATACCCTGTGAAACTTTTTCCTGGTCAGGAATCTGTTAACACTGCCATTTGCTTTTGGAGAAACTTAAATGCTCTTAAGTCTTCAGAACTGCATGGTTGGTTAGATACAGACCTCTGTACTTCCACCTAAACTGGTCAGAACAATTGGCTTACAAAAATATTAAAACAAACTGAACAAATTAACCATTACCAGAAGAGAAACTAAACAACAAAAAAACCCCTACAATAGTTCTACGGAAGCAGGATTTTTTCAGGAATGACCAAGGTGCAGGTTTTAGCACATGCACATGGCAAGATCTGGCAAAATTCCCTCCTCCACATTTATTAAAGATACTCATTTTATGTCTGGTCATCTTACTTAAGACAGGATAAACTTTGTAAGCTGCCATAAAAATGCTTGAAATGCACAGTGTAAATCATACACCTTAAAAAAAAATCAAATCAGATCAAAGAATAAATTTGGCCTACCTTGCCACAAAGGTATAGACAGTTTGAAGATATCTCTTATCACATTGCTTTAAGAACAAAACTAAACTAAAAAGAAATCTGCAAAATGGAATGGACGCATTTTGAAGACATGAAGCTGCTTTATACTATATTGCTTACTCTGATAGGTAGCAGCTGTCCCAAGCAGATGTTTACCACATTACCTACCAGCTGATCCCTTTCTTAACTAGAGATGCCAAGCACTGAACCAGGATCTTCTGCACACAAGGCAGATGCTCTGCCACCAAGTCACAGCCCCTCTCCAGTTTTCCATTTGACAGAATGCAGTAATTGGAGTGCTGAGAAAACGTAATATCCCTCCACCTTCTGAAATGTCAAGAAGGGAGGACTCTACAGATGCACTAGCTCAAAGTGCTATACAAGACAGACCGCATTGGGAGACAAGCATGGAAATGCTGTCTCAGCCTTAGATTCAGAGGGTAGCGACATCATCCCTTCAACCTCAGTTCTCCATCTGCAAAATGGGCGTTAAAAAAGCAACACTGGCAGGGCTTTTGTGAAGACAAGCAAGCTGAGTATTAGACAGCACAGCAAAAGCATTATTATTGTTCCAAACACAAAAGAGGCAACCCAATGCAGACTAACCAGGTTTGTGAGCCACAACTTTGAAAAGCTTATTTAGGGCCCCAAGAATGAGAGATGCTTACATTTAGATCTCTGAAGTGCTCATTGTAGTCTAAGGCATAGCCTACCACAAACAAATTTGGAATTTCAAATCCATAATCTGTACGGGGGAAACAAAGAAAGACTATATTGTTAGAAATACAAACACGGACGCTTTCTTCTTGTGATAGTTCACTGACCTGGAAAATACATACAACAGCCAAATCTCAGCTCCCCCTCATGTGAAGCTAAGGAAGCCTTCATTACAGCTGAGAAAGGCCTCCTTCCTCAGTTAGTTGTTCAAAGGTACCCAATTAGGTCATACAACGACCCACAATTATATACAAAAAAGGTCCTCTCTTCAGGGAAAGAAAATACCGACTCTGCCAACTGCAACTCTTACCCAGACTGGTAATGGCTGCATTCGGATGACTCAATCTACAATGCTCATTCTTGTTAACCAAAGTGTGCTCATTTTGTTCATGACATCTGAAGGCAGCCACTGGGCGTACTTAACTCTCAAGTGAATTTTCTGATACCTTCCGGCAATAAACTGCAGTCTGTATAGTCCAAGAATACGCCTTGCAGGATTTCAGGCTTGTGTGCTCTTACCCTCTTCTCCCCATGTATCAGCTAGATCCAAAGACTTCCTAGATCAGAATTAACTGAAATTTAGCATGACATTCAAACTGGGTGCTTAAACAAATTGGTGGTCTGTTTCTTTCCTACAAACCTGGATTCTAAACTAGGTTTATACTGCAGTTTAGAGTCCTGGTCTGTAGGCTAAAAACCCTCACACCTGCAACGTGTTAAAGCGCCCAATTTCACTGTCAAGAGTTAATGCTCTAAACCAGAAAGTCTTCAGCCTTGAGCTGGTGTGCAATAAGAGGGAGGGTAGCTAACTTGTCAACCACAATTGGTACTCCTGGTTTGTTGCTTATTTATTTTATGCTGTGCTTTCATCCCCCATGAGGCCACAAACAGCTTGTCACATCATTCTCTCCTCCTCCACCTTATCCTCACAACAACATTCCTGTGAGGTAGGTCAGGCTGAGAGAGCATGATGGGCCCAGGGTCACTTGGCAGCTTCCACGGCAGAGCGGGGATTCGAACCCAGGTCTCAGTCTGACACTCTATGCCACACCAACTCCTGTTGTGACATATGCATGTACACTGTGACATATGCATTCACAAGCCACAGTTTGCTAGCCAACTGGGCACAGCAATGGAACGGAGGGAGGTTATCTCCCCTGCTAGGAGACAGAGAGGCAGCCCAGAAGCACACAAGAAGCTGGGGGTTTATGGACACACTGGGATTTGTGGCTTATATCAAGAATTTATAGTACACGTTACAATTTAAACAAGCCACTGTCTGTTGTGACATCTGAACCAGGACCCGGGCTTAGCTGTGTGTATAAAGTGCCATCAGGTTGCAGCTGACTTATGGAGATCCCTCGCAGGGTTTTCAAGGCATCTGAAAGATAAGGAGCGAGGGAGCAGTCCAGCCAGATGCAGCTACTCCCTGCTAGCCTCCACCATGGTGGTGGTGGTGGAAAGTGCTGTCAAACCGCAGCTGACTTATGGAAACTCTGGAGGGTTTTCGAGGCGAGAGAGGAGCAGAGGCGGTTTGCCATTTTCTGCCTCTGTGTAATGACCCTGGACTTGTTTGGTGGTCTTCCGTCCAAGAACTAACCAGGGCCGACTCCGCTTTGCTATGCACCATGAAAAGTGTTACCTGCTGGTTTCTGCTTATCAAAGGGGAGGGGAGTAGGCCTGGCTGGGGGTTTCCCAGTCAGTCGGCAACCCTAGGTAGAAATAACCCTTTTGAAAATGACTATCTATGCTGTAGCCCTTTCACATTCAGAAGAGGGACTGGATTTATACCCCACCCTTCTCTACCCAAAGGTGTCTCAGAGCAGCTTACAATCTCCTTTCCCTTCCCCTCCCCACAACAGACACCCCTGTGAGGTAGGTGGGGCTGAGAGAGCTCTCTCGAGAACTGCTCTTGAGAGAACAGCTCTGAAAGAACTTGTGGCTGACCCAAGGTCACACCTGCAGCTGCATGTGGCGGGGGGGGGAATCAAATCCGGTTCTCCCAGATTAGAGTCCACACTCCTAACCACTACACCAGACTGGCTCTCCGGTGTTCAAACATCATTCCGAGCATCAATGCTGAAAACGTTCCATGGGCTGGACGTGTCACTTCTCGCTTGTTCAATGAAAAGAGGGCAATGGACTATTTTAACTATAGCCAGGAAGAGAAGAAAAATCCACTTACAATCAGGTCTGTACCCATCAGGCTGAGATGTTCTTTTCAGCAACAAACTGTCATGAAATAAAGAACAAAATGTTTCCCTGATTAAAGAAAAAAATGGATTTGTTCAGATTAACTCCTCATTGTGCATTCTTCCTTGCTTTTTCTTCCATCACCTCAGGGCTCGTACAGCTTGTGACACACCAGGCTGAACATAACCCACCTTCCTTATGCAGCCAATGAGGAGCTTGGAAGTCCCTACTGGGCCACCATACACAGGTTTGGCTTAGTAAGTCACAAGGTGTTGAGGCCTGCCTTGCCTTATTTTAAACTTTCCTTTACCCTTTCAGTAGCACTAGTCTGCTTATGGTAGATCAGTTAGGTTTGTTGTCTCTCCATCTGCTATCAATTACGTTTGAAATGTCTGAATGGTGACCAGGGGAAACTCCATAAGGATTTCCTCTGCCTTGTTCTATCCCTATTCTTAGCTGTGAGTCAGTTGTCTCTTTCTGTAATCCACCCATACAGAAAGTAGATGATACTAAACTTCTGGTTTCCAAAGGAAAACCCAGTTCATCCATTGTCCTGCTCCAATCCTACTCACCTTTCTATTTTCTCTCCATTAATAACAATAACTATATAAATATATATAGTTATACAGTAATTAACTGAGAGAAAATAAAAAGGTGAGTAGGGTGTTTCCCAGCCCTCCCAGAGGTGACACATTTCTGGGAATTTGGAAACACATGTAATAGTTACTGTTTGGATCAAGCCAATCAACGAATCAGTTTGATTCTGCTGCTTTATTAACATAAAATTCATCATTTGTGACCTTATATCTTATTTAGTATATACGTTTAAAAATGTAAATGCCCTAGTCTGATACAAGTAAAATTGCAGATATAGTCAATATGAGAGAGAGAGAGAGAGAGAGAGAGAGAGAGAGAGAGAGAGCGCAATTGTTATCTCTGAGAGAGAAGAAAATATTAAAATGGAAAATGGAAAACCTAAATTTTATAGTAAACCAAAGGAAATATATTATTTGGACAGAAATATTCTCACTCATAATAGGGTTGGCTGTATCTCTGGATAACAGCCTAAACTTTATAACACTGAAAACCCTGAACTTGTCAGTAGTGTATTATCATCATACACATTATAGCAAATTAATTGTCAATAAAATTAGCCATGTTTAAAAAAAACAAATTATCCTTGAAAATATGTCGAACAGTCCAGTATACACAGAAATTACCATTGTCTAAGGCACTAGACTGTTTAACACAAAAATCTCAAAACTATGCAATCTGAGTAAGATCTTGTTTTAAAAGGTATTTCACTCAATCCAGAAGATAAAATATTTCCCTGGAAGTTTTTTCAGCGTTCTCCCAAATTTCCAGATTTTCTAAGAGAAAAATGGGGGGAGTCCTATGGGGGGAACTTCCCCCCTGAATGTTTCCATTTCTCCCCCTGGGCCTTCACATTTTTAAACCCTCCTACTACTTTGCAGGGTTCTCAGACCCCCAGTCCGGGTGGGGGATCCCCGATTTTTGGGGCTTCTGCATGTCGCTGGCCAGCTGGCTGGTGGGGGAAGCCCCACCCCTGAACAGTGACATTGCACGGCGATGTTCCCAATGCGATGATGTCACGCGGAAGTGATGTCATTGCATTAGTGATGTCGCACGGCAACACTCTGCTTTTTGGGCAAAACTCTATAGTTTGAGCTCAGTTTTAACAATAGAGTTTGCCCCAAAAGCAGAGCGTCACCAACGCAACAACGTCACTTCTGCATGACGTCATCGCATTGGGGATGCCGCCACCCACTCCTGGACTGCCTCCCAAATCCCCCCGCTGGCGTGACGATCGCACCTGGCAACCCTACTTCTTCGGTTGGTGATGTCGGGGATTGAGGCCACTACCTTTTGCATGCAGACCACGTGTTCTACCACTGAGGTACCCCCCCACACCAAAATGTCACTCACCTTGCTACTTTAACCATTTTGGGCTTGTATTTCTCAATGTTGTTGAGGAGAGCTCTCATTGTCCTTCCGGTTCCAATGATATCCTTTGTAAAGCATGAAAGGTATTTTAAAAAATGGTGAGCTGACAGCTCTGCCTCAGTAACTGAATTCTGCTTGGAAAACTGACTTGTTCTGTTCCTTCTGCACTCTGCTTAAAAAGGGTTATAACTACGAAAGGCCTAAGCAAAGGTTATGTTCACTAAAGGCCACACTTGGAATGAACTCAAATGAACTACACACACACACACCCAACCCCTCTGCATAACAAAAGTTAAAGGGCTTTTTAAAACTACCTCAGTGAAGCTTCTGTGGACTTCACAGGATTCTGTTTACATATCTGGATCTAGGAGAGCATGTAACACGGTATGAACTGATCCTCAGAACTGTACCCTTTCTGCATATGCAAACACAGTGAACTTACCTCCACAATTAACACATTCTGAAACAAAACAGAGAAACATACTCAGTTAAATACAGAAGGAAATGGAAACAGAATCATGACAGTTTACAGTATGTAAGGAATGCGTTATGAACCCCAGGCCCTCTGCGTCTTCAGCTCTCCGAGTGAATTACTGAACAGGGAGCCTGATTCTGATTTTTCAGAGCTTCACACCTTCTCAAGACGCACTGGGACCAAGGGCCAAGAGGCACAGTATCCCTGGCTCCTGGACAGTTTAACAAATGTAGCCATGAGGAACTCTGCTCGAGGAAGCTGGATGGGGTGTGAGGATTTAATTTTATTTATTTAAGAACGTTTCTATGCCGCTTTCCAACCAAATAGCCCCCCCCCCCCCACTGCAGCAAGTGATGCTCGTTCCATTCGGTTCAAGATGCTAGTCACTCTGTGTGTGAATGTCAGGCTGTGGTGGGGACGTATGTTATGTCTGAAACATCTTATTTTTCCTGTCCATTGAGCAAACAGCCACCCGCCTGTATATGTGTGTTGTGTTTTATGGTGCTCTCCTAAGCAGAATTGACTTCAGTGGACTTTGAAGAGTGAAACTCTGCTTAGGATCACATTGTTAGATGGGGACATTGGTTTAGGGGAAAGGTTACATACTTGTACCTCCTGTGCTGCTCTGCTCCCCTGCTCAAATTAACTAAAACACACACACACACACCATGGCTGCATTTAAAAGTCAGGAGATCAGTCATGGACTTCCCAGTGTAAAATGTAGCTTGGCCCTCAGCCAGCCAGCCAAGGAGTGGCAGGAAGGAGAGTTGTGTGAATTCTTCAATGGCATACTGTCATATTACAGTTATAGCACAATAATTGTGGAGGAAATTAGTCACATTTAAACAATATCCTTGCAAATTTGTTATTCATGTCTACAGTTTTCACAGGCATGATCATTCTCTAATGCTGCAGATAGTTTTAAATAGTCCTCATACAATACATTTTGAGTAAAACCTTGCTTTTAAAAGTATGTCACTCATTCCAGAGAGAGAGACAGACAGACAGACATAATTCTTTCCCCTGGTGCTGTCCAAAATGTCCAGTTTTTTTAGTGGGAACAGTAAGTCCTCAGGGGGAGGGGGGAATATGGAAAAATGTTTCTGTGTTACTTCCTGGATCTTCATATCTCTAGGACACCCCCTGCGAATTCAGAACCCAAGCTTCCAGACAATACAATTCTAAGCCCACTGAGTTCAGTGGACTTAGGAGGAGGTAACCCTGCTCAGATGGTGGTGGGGAAAAGTGCTGTCAAGTCACAGCTGACTTATGGCGACCCCTCATGGGGTTTTCAAGGCAAGAAACTGCAAGGCCTTTTGCACCTGGAATACGGCAAAGGCAGGCTTCCAATTTGCAGAGATGAAGTAATGCACAGAGGGCAAACCCAAGCAAGCCTATTCAGAAGTCAGCCCCATTTTATTTAGCAGGGTTTGCTCCCCAAAAAGGGTTCTTAGGGTTGCTGCCATAAAATTCAGAAATGACTGATTTAACTGCATCACAGTAAAAGTTACACAGGCTCTTTTATTGGCTTTGTCCTGCCTATCAAAACCTGTTCGCAAATGTTGCCCAATCAAATGCTAGACTGGTCTGATGCCACCCCCATGCTAGCTCGTGGCACAGGGACTCTTT